ATTTTGAGTGACCTCCAGCTCTCACCTGGAGATTGGCAACACTGGTTCCCCAGAAGGGAATAGTTGGTTTGGAGGGTGGAGTCTATGGCTTTGTACCTGTCTGAGGTCCCACGCCTCCTGAAACCTCACCCTCTCCAGGCTCCACCCCTCACATCTCCAGGAATTTCCCACCTGGAGTTGGCAACTCTATCTCCTTCCCAGCCAATCATCAACCTACCTTTATTTTCCCCTCACTCTTCAGCTTTCCACCCCACAGCCTCTCCCGTGCTCTGAAGCCCTGACTGCTACGTCACATTGGCTGTCATACGGGGGCCACCTCAGCAGCATATAAGGATACAGAGCCCACCATTTTCTCCAGGGGAACTGATCTCTGCCGTCTGGAAAGCAGTTGTAATTCTGAGTGATTTCCAGTGCTCACCTGGAGATTGGACACATTTTACCTCAGAACAGCAAAACTGGTTAGAATGTTAGAGGCAAAAGCCAATCAAGTCGCATATGCAAACGACCTCTGTGTTCCGCGGCAGAGGCCAATGAGGCTGCATATGCAAATAACCTCTGTGTTCTGACTGGCTATGGGGGGAAGAGGAAAAGCAAAATGTTTAGAATGTTGGAGGCAGGACTCAGGCAAAGCAGCCAGTGGATAGGGAGACCCTCTGAATGACAGATCAGAGAGCGAACTGATTTTGGAGCGTGTGGAATGTTCTAGAGAAGTGCCACTACCATTCAGCTTTTATTTATAAGGGAGATTGGCTAGCTTTCAGCCCTCACCCTTCATTTGCTAAGCATTTCTAATTGGATGGCTTCAAAACTATGGGAGAGACATGAGAAAATTGAAAGGTGTGTCTTGACAGATGTAAGGAATATTTTTACAGTGGAAATGGGCTTATCGTGGAGGAAGCATGCTGCTTTTCCTTGCTCAGAGACTGATATCTCCCTGTCCCATGAAATTAGAATTACATGAAAACTTTTATGCCAGACTGAAGCCATTCTGTGATGTGTCAAATACAGTTTATAAGTGTATTTCCTTGTTGATTTGTTTACAGACAGGAGGACAATAACATTTCTGCAAAGGAGAGACTGGCTAAAAATTGTTCCAGCTGTAGCTAGTAACTGTAATGTCTCATAATAGCATGCACAGAAGAAAATTTCCATTAACAAAGCCTACATCCAATCTTCTCTTCTTTTCTCTTTGTCAGCTTTGTTCAATCTCTATAGCTAGCAAAAAAAAAAAATCATTACTACATCTCCATGCTAGAAAACAGCTTTACCTGTTGAATTTGATTGTATACCTCTCTTAAACATAAAGGAGCATTGCTAGGGAAAAAGGTGATTACCCTACAGTGCAATCCCAAAAACATTTTTCTAGAAGTAAACCCCATTGAATAAACTAAGAGTTATATCTGAGCAGATGTGAATAGTATCACTTCCTTACTTTGATAGGCTGGAATTTCCAAACAGATCGTCTGTATTTATTACTTCATTTCTAGTCTGTGTTTCTCACTAAGAGTCAAAACTGATTTTAAAAGTCTTAAAAACAACGCACTACAACAGTGTAATGCATACAACGATGCAGTAAAACTGGATTATAGACCTAGAAAAACAATACAATACGAAAAAAAAATTCCCTACTTCCATAGAGGGCCAATGCTGGTAAGACATAGAAGTGTGATAGAAATCCATCAGGTGCAGAATTTCTGATTTGGGAAGTCCTTTCCCAGCTGATTTTTTGATATGCAGCTCTTAAAAAGGCACATGGACACTGTCGCCATGAATGCCATTTATTATAATGATTACGATGATTATTAGCATGTCACCAGTAGGTCTTCTGAGCAATGATTTCACTGGGAAAATTCTAATGGTGACATGTGGAACAGACTTATACCCAAGCTATGTGCAGGTTTTGAAACAGTTGAGTGGAAACAGCACAGAAAGGAGGGAGCCACTTGAAATGGCTGGGCTGCAACTTTATAGCAAAGGCTATGGTAATTGAATTTTTGAAAAGAGCTGACATCTGAAATGAGCAGGATTAGTAATTATGTGACATCCTGAAGGATAATATTAATGATTCTTATGCAAGTGTTTGTTAAACCTGTAATTCAGATTTAATGACTATCCCAAAGCCTTTCTTACGAGAGAGAGAAACTCTCACTTTGGCTCCTGAATTTAATCTCCTTTGAAGCAAAATCTCTCTCTCTAGAAAGCTGGAGATGTTCAGCTTCAATTAGCATCCGCCAAAGTGAGTGGGTGAACTCCACTTCCCTTTTATTAAAGAAAAATGCATTGGGGCTTACTAAACAATACTGTTTCATAGTTATTTGACCCTTATGGGTGTTAGAACTGTCCTTGAATTAAAAACACAACAACAACAACCCGGCTTCATGAATATGGGGAAATAAACTTACTGGTTATTAGAATTCCGTGAATAATTGTTCCTATTATTTAAATCTGTGGTGGAGTTCCATACTGCTCATGGAAGGGGGAGAAGGGCTTTACAAGATAGATCCAGGCATAATAAGAGAAAAAAGCAATCATGCAGACAGTGGTTGGTCTTCTTCTTCAGACTTCAAACCCAGTCTGATTTGCAAAAAAAAAAAAAAAAAAAAACATTAAAATGACTGCATGCCAAGGGCAGACCTCCTGGAATGCTCAAGCCCTTTCACCTCCTTCCCCCCTCCCTTTCACTGGTTTCCTTTATTTAAATATTATTTTTAAGCATCTGATTCTCCATAGGTAATTCTTTGAACATCTCTGCATGCTGTTCCTTTAGCAACCTGGTTTATCTATCAGATTGGCTTAGAATAACCTCCTTGTTTTCTCATAGCCTGTTGTGTAATTAAAACGTAGTGTCTGAGATGCAGGGGTCACAAGAACGTGGGCATGAATTCAAGCTAATAGTTTGCTTCCTCTTGTCAGCCTGTAAATATTTTTTTGAATCTAAATTAATCTTGTAGGCCATTTTCTAAATTAGACATAAAATGCAGCTGTTTGAGAGGCCCAACAATGATGCAGGCTGCAAAATTAGCTTTGGTTGAGCTAAGAAGGACTTCCTTCTCTGTTCAGAGAACAGATAACAAATGAAGCAGTGTTTTAAGGCATGGACTTGGCCACTTGTATAAGAGCTGGCTTTTGGATTAATACAGGAATGCAGTTTTAAAGAACTATAAGTCCCTTAAGCTGTATAAAGAATGACAATAATTCCTCCTTGTCTGTTGTGTTCCTATTTAAATCTGTCTACCACAAAATGATACAGATAACCTGCATGCCCTGCTGTTTAAATTTACTTTGCCTGATCTAGAATTCCTAGGTGTATCACCTAAAGGTATAGAGAAGGAATGAATTTCACAGTGGGAGACCATTGGACTGGAATGCTAGCTGAATCTTTTGACTTTGATGTGATGTTGAGCATATCACTGAGACTTTGGCTTGCTGCTTCATTTATTTTCCCAGTGTTATTGTGAGGGTAATGTCCCTTTAAGAACTGAAATGGACTTAACAAGAAACTCAAAACTGCCATGACTGTTTCTTTGTCTCTTCTTCCCAATAACACATGAAATGAGGTCTTCTTCTCACTGAGAATTTTCCACCTCCTACCATGCATGGTTGGTTGTTTGCAGGGCAGGTGGGAAAAATATGCAGCCCAACAATGACAGGTCATACCTTGTGTTACACCAGACGTTGAGAGGAATGATGCACAGAGACATGATGGCTTTGTTTGTTCCAATGTTCTTTTTGTTTAGTTCCATCTTAATATAACGTCCACTGGAAAGATCAGCTATTTATATACAAAGCCACTAACAGTAGCATGAACAGAACCAGCAGGGGAGAAAGCTGGGACTTTGTCTTCTGTAGTCTAAATCGAAGTGTTTAGTTCTTGAATCTTAGCAGGTCATATTATCCTGCACTCTTCTCAGCATGGATGGTGGAACTACATGTCCTGGCAAATTAGTGTTTCCCAAACTAGGGCTGCCGGCGCTGGGTTGGGAAGACCCTGGGGATTTGGGGGGTGAAGCCTGAGGAGGGTGGGGTATGGGGAGGTGAGTAGCTTCAGTGGGGTATAATTCCATAGAGTCCATGTTAGATCGCGCTAACAAAGGACTCGTACAGTGATTCAGCAAGTGATTCAGCTTTATTGGAAGTAACGAGCAAGCACTAACTCAGTAAGAAACCAGAACAGAAAACAGTGGGAGCTTATGCTCCTTTTAAACATAACCGGGCTAATGTAGCCACGCCTATTTACAAATAACAACCAATGAGATTGCTAGAATAAAGACCAATGGGAGTCTTTCCCTCCTAGGGAATGGTATCGTTCTGATTGGTCGCTGTTACGAAGCGACCAATAGGAAGTTCGCTCAGAGGAGCCCTGGTCTGGCTCGAAGCTTAACATGGGAGTCCTATGAGGTGATTCAAGTAATCATTTCAATACATTACAATTCCTCCCCCCTAAGTTAAGCCATCATCCCAATTGTTTTATTATTTACAAACATGCAATCAACCTTTGTACATCAGTTATTCCAACAGTGTTTACACTCATAGTCCTTCAGATAAGTCGGCATTTGCCGCGAACGCTGGGACCTGCGGAGCGGTGCAGGCTCCACGGGCAGACAAGGTTGTGGGTCAGAGTGGGGTCCACTACAGCCTGGATCAGGCACAGACTCGACTGGGATTTCAGCCCCGCACACAGGGTTCTGCCCTGACTCGGGGACAGTACCGGGCCTTTCGGTACTCACCGCCTGCTCTGGGGGTGTCCACTCGACATCAGGGGATTCAGCCGTCGGAGAGTCAGCGCTGTCCCTAGCCCAACGTCTCCTTAACTGATCTATGTGGCGCCGCCATATTCGACCGTCAGCTAACTGCACCACATACATTCGAGTACCCACAGAGTCGGATATAACCCCAGGAAGCCACAAGTGCCCGTTTGCATAATTTCGTGCGAAAACCTTGTCCCCTTTTTCAAACATGCGCACCTTCGGTTGCGCAGTGGTACGCTCGGACTGATCTTCTGATAGGTCTGGGTGCATACGGTTCAAACGGGTCGTGAGTCTCCGCCCCATTAACAATTCGGCCGGACTACGGCCTGTAGCACTACAGGGGGTGGTGTGCTGCAGCAAAAGAAAGGAGCCCAGCCTCTGGCTCCAGTCCCCTTCGTCCATTTTACCCAGGGCCTCTTTGGCCGTCCTGACCATCCGTTCGGCTTGGCCATTAGATGCCGGATGGAAAGGGGCCGAAGTCATTTGGCGTATGCCATTACTCGTGAGGAAGAGCCTAAATTCCTCAGACACAAATTGAGGCCCGTTGTCACTGACGATGACGTCAGGCAACCCGTGGGTGGCAAAAAGTCGGCGGAGCGCATGGATCACAGCAAGTGATGTGGTCGATTTCATATGCACGACCTCCAGCCATTTGGACATAGCGTCCACCACAATTAGGAACATTTGCCCTTGGAGAGGGCCAGCAAAATCTATATGCAATCTGGCCCAGGGTTTACCAGATGACTCCCAGCCTTGGGGTGTAGCTTGTGGGGGATCGGGTCTGACTTGCTGGCATTTGGGACACCCTCGTACCCATTCTTCGATCTCTTTGTCCAGCCCCGGCCACCAGACATACCCTCTGGCCAACGCTTTGGTGTGTACCATACCGGGGTGACCCTCGTGCAGCGACTCTAACACTCTCGTCCTGAGTTTGTCAGGAACCACCACCCTGTTCCCCCATAATACACAGCCCTTAGAAATGGATAGTTCATTTTGACGGCTTTTGTAAGGGCCGAACTCCGGTTCAACGCTTCCAACCGGCCACCCCCTCCAAACCCAGTTTAATACTCGGGACAGCACGCTATCCTTGGCCGTGTGTGCTGCAATGTCCCTGGATGATACCGGGGGTCGAGGAAGCTCCTCAATTGCCAAGACCTCACAGGCGGGGGCAGGGTCTGCGCCAATGTCCGGCACCGGGCACCGGCTGAGGGCATCCGCATGCCCAATCGCTTTCCCAGGCCGGTGCTCTAAGTCAAAATCATAAGCCTGCAAAAATATCGCCCATCTAAGCATGCGTGGGGACATGATGTTTGGCAATTGCTTATCGGGCGCAAAAATCCCCAGTAGCGGCTTGTGGTCAGTGACCAGCAAAAATCGTCTGCCAAAAATAAAATCATGGAACTTTTTGACAGCCGCTACCAACGCCAGACCCTCCTTGTCTATCTGGGCATAGTTCCGCTCTGCCGCAGATAGTGATCTAGAATAAAAAGCGATAGGCGCTTCGCTCCCATCAGGCATCAGATGGCTTAAAACTGCGCCTACTCCAAACGGTGAAGCGTCAGCAGCTAACACCAGGAGCTTGTGTTCATCATAATGCGTGAGTACGGCATTAGATGTCAGCAGCTCCTTGACTCCCACAAAAGCCTTTTCCTCGGCCTGCCCCCACTTCCATTTTGCCTCCTTGTGCAAAAGCGCGTGCAAAGGGGCCGCCACTGATGCCTTATGCGGTAAAAACGCATGATAAAAATTCAGGAGTCCTAAAAAGGATTGGAGCTCCTTCTTACTCACCGGCCTGGGGGCGTTTTGGATTGCAGATACCTTCTCATCCGTGGGGTGGACTCCCTCTGCGTCAATGCGAAACCCCAGGAAGTCCACACTTTCCACCCCGAGCGTGCATTTTGAGCGCTTAACTCTGAGGCCGGCATTTTGAAAACGCCTGAGGACCTCTTTAACCCGGTCCAGTAGTTCCTGTTCAGACCCGCCCGCAATCAGCACGTCGTCAAAATAGGGCACTGTGCCAGGTACCCCCCTTAGTAGACGTTCCATGAGGCCCTGAAAAATCCCAGGTGCTACGTTGACCCCGAATTGCAGCCTGTTCACTTTAAAAGCCCCTTGGTGGGTTACAATTGTTTGGGCCTCGGCAGCCTCCGGGGTGACAGGCAACTGCTGGTATGCCTGGGCCAGGTCAAATTTGGCGAAAATCTTGCCACCCCCCAGGGAAGCCAAAATGTGGCTTATTACCGGGACCGGGTACGAATGTTGCTGCAGCGCCTTGTTAATCGTACATTTGTAATCGGCGCATAGTCGTATGGACCCATCTGATTTGACAGGGGTTACGATCGGGGTCTCCCATTTGCTGTATGGTACTGGCTCTAAAACCCCTTGCTCAACTAGTTTGTCAATCTCTTTTTCCACCTTATGTTTGAGAGACACAGGTACTTTCCGATACTTCAACCTAATAGGTTTGACTGACGGATCTAAGTCAAACGCAACCGGGGGGCCCTTGTACCTTCCCAACCCTTCGGCAAATACATCAGGGAACAGGTCGTACAGCATGCCCCATTTATTTTCAGACATCCTGTTAATCCCAGAAATACCGATGCCCAATGGCTCAAACCAATCTAACCCTAGCAGGTTAACCCGGTCTCCCTCTGCAATCAGGAATGACAGTTTAACACATTTCCCCTTATACTCAACAGTAACAGAGTCCCGTCCGGCCAAGGGAATTCGGTTGCCCTGGAAGTCGGACACTCTGGTTCCCGCAGGCTGGAGCCGCCGCCGGCTTCGGTTCGGGAACAACTGGCGCCAGGACGCGGCAGAAATCACCGTCACGGACGATCCTGAGTCCACCTCCATTGTACAGGGTCGGCCGTCGAGGAGTGGAGTCACGGTGATCTTGCCCTGGCTGCTGGTGCGATTTACGGCCGATGCGCTCGACAAGGTCGCCGTCAACTGGCAGCTTGCTTCCGATGCTGAGGAACGGGTCTTGCCTTGGGTGCTGACTGGAGTGCCCCTCTGCGCTGACCGGTTGTTAGTTGAGGGATCCTTCTTCGCTGATCTGCAGACTCTGGCCAGATGACCACGCCGCCCACACGCTCTGCAGTCGACATCACGAGCCCAACAGGAGCCGCGCTGGTGCTTCCCGCCACAACCGGAGCAAGGCTTGACGTTGGTAGTCTTCGCTGGGGTCCGCTTGCCTCGAACCGCGTTGACGTCATCATCCGCGTCTTCGCCCTCGCTGTCTCGTTGAGCGTGTATACTGGGCTCTGCCACCCGCTGGCGGACCTCCTTCGTGGACTTCTCCGCTGCTTCCGCGGCCACGGCCTCTTCGTAGGCCACTGCCCAGGTCAGGGTGGTGCGGGCGAACAGCCTCTGTTGCAGCCTTTCATCTTTGAGACCGCAGACGAGACGGTCTCTGAGGGCTTCCTCCACGTTGTGGAAATTACATGGCCGTGCGGCTTTGCGAAGGGCCGCCACGAAATCTGCGATGGTCTCGCCTCCGGCCTGGTTCCGCTTGTAAAAAGCGTGCCGGCAGGCGATCTCCGACGGTTGTGGAGAATAGTGAGCCTTAAGCTTCTCCGTGATGTCAGCGTAGGTGACAGTCTTTATATCAGTTGGGGCCACCAACGACCTGGCTATGTCGAAGGTCCCCTTCCCGCAGGAACTCAGGAGGCATGCCCGTTTCTTCGCCTCATCGGTGATGTCGTGGGTCTCCAGATGGAACTCGAACCTGGACAGGTAGGAGTCCCAGTCTTCTGAGGAGGGTTCGAAGCACTCGAACTTCTGGCTTCCAGCCATCGGGGGAGACTTGGGCACCGGAGCTGGTGGCGCCTCCGCCGGATCGGCTGCTGTGCTCTGCCCGCTTTCTTCCGAGTCCGAAGTGTGGATGTCCGCAGGGCTGCCTACCTGCTCTAACATCCCACCTTCGTCGCCAATTGTTAGATCGCGCTAACAAAGGACTCGTACAGTGATTCAGCAAGTGATTCAGCTTTATTGGAAGTAACGAGCAAGCACTAACTCAGTAAGAAACCAGAACAGAAAACAGTGGGAGCTTATGCTCCTTTTAAACATAACCGGGCTAATGTAGCCACGCCTATTTACAAATAACAACCAATGAGATTGCTAGAATAAAGACCAATGGGAGTCTTTCCCTCCTAGGGAATGGTATCGTTCTGATTGGTCGCTGTTACGAAGCGACCAATAGGAAGTTCGCTCAGAGGAGCCCTGGTCTGGCTCGAAGCTTAACATGGGAGTCCTATGAGGTGATTCAAGTAATCATTTCAATACATTACAGTCCACCTGCCAAAGTGTCCATTTTCTCCACATGAAGCTGCTTTATATTGAATCAGACCCTTGGTCCATCAAGGTCAGTAAGTATGGGCTCTCCAGGTTCTCAGGCAAAGGTTTTTCATATCACCAGGGTATGCTATAGCCTGTTCTTGTCAAATCTCAGAAGCTAAGCAGGGTTGGTACTTGGATGGGAGACCACTGTGGAAGACTCTGCAGAGGAAGGCAGAGCAAACTACCTCTCCTTCTCACTTGCCTTGAAACCCCCTTGCTGGTATTATCATAAGTTGGTTCCAATTAGATGGCACATACATACGTCATATTACTCTGATAAAACTGGCTTCCTCTGATCTGCTGACAAAACTACGACTGCTAATAGAATGGTGCCATTCTTGCCCCTGTTTTTTTACCCTAATTCATTATTTCAGTCATATAGCGAATAGGCAGTCATTGTACAGATTAAAGAGTTAAGGCGAAGAGCTATTTGTTTCTCCAAGTCCACCAACTGAATCTACAGCTGTGCTAGGGTTTGAACCACTGGTCTCCCCACTGACCTAAATTATTTTTAAATTGTAAAACTATTTTAAATGAAAACTTTAAAGTAAGAATGGATGTGTCAACCACTAAGACCCAAGCATTTACATTACACTGTCTTTGCCCACTCCTACGCCACAGCACCCAACTAATTAGCAGGCTGGCCTTTTTCTACATAGTTTACTTTCAATTTAATAAATGAAAAGCTTTCCTAGGCCTCCCATCTTAACAAAGTGACAGAGGGCATGAAATTGGGGCAATAATTACACCGCCTCTTTCAGCCTGTTGTCAACTATCAAGCATGCTTCAAGGAATTGAGCATTGATACCAATTAATCTTAGACCTTTGTTTTTCAAGGGATCTGCAGGGAATCCCAGATGTTCAATAGCAACAGCAATTTTTGTTTAAAAGTCAAAAATACCTAGACAACCTGCCCTTGCCAAATATTCAGTTATTCCTATGTATGTCAATAGCATGCAAGACCATCTCCAGTACTGTTTGCCTGAACAATAATCACAACAGCTTTCACAAGGGCAATTCTGTTCTTTAGTCTGTTTGTTCTGGGCTGTCCACCCTGTGTGACAGTTAGATGTGAGCTGAAGTTTCTCCCAGAGTTCCATGCACATTGTTCCTGATTCACATTGGGACTACAGGGTGCATGGAGAAGAGGCTTCAGACCAGGGATGGGCTACGAGAGCACCTTCCCTGGCTATGCTGGGGGGACCCCTGACTGCCCATGGCTCTGCTAAATGCCAAAGTTTATTTTAAATGTATTTTAAAACTGTTGTAAACGCTGAAATCAAACAATGAGTGATAGAACATAATATGAGTAACAGAATGCATGCAGTGGAGTACAAAGCAGAAGCAAGGAGCATGTGATGCAGCGGCTGCCTGGCCATTTAAATTATAGGTAAATTTCCCAGTGGGCTACTGTCTTACAGGGTCACTGGGGGCTAGCAGCCAGCAGAGTCAAGTGCCAGAAACTCTGCCAGTGCCTCAGTGCCACTTGGATCTTTTAGAATGGTTCACTGTCAGCCTGCCAATGGCCTCCTCCTGCACTGCCATCAGTTTATAGGAGAAGGCAATGGGCAACCAAACACTTTTTGTTGGCAGTGCTAAGCCAAGGGGCACTAGGTTGTAGCAAA